GGATGTTGTATCTGAGAGGCTGTTGGGGCAGCCAGGTCTGCAGCCCCTTCCCACCACTGCGGGTTTGGCTGCTCATGCCTGGGCCCGGCTCTGATATGGCCCAGCTGTGACCTGGGCTCAGGCTGCTGGGGAAGGGCTGGGAGATGTCCCCTCAGGGGCTTCCTGCTTCCTTTGGGTACTATGGAGAAGGCAGGAAATCCTCCTTAGATGCGGGCAGAAGGACTTGCAAAAGGGGAACCTGAAGGGGCAATGGGCAAAGAGCTACATTTAAAGAAGAATGATAAAAGTATTTTATTTGTTTTCCATGCATAATTGAACTTCTAAAAATCCTACTCTTCTGCTTGGCCACATCCTTGACATCCTAAACTAGAGGGTTCTGACTCAGGTTAATCTTTGTCTGGCAATAAGCTTAATTTCTGCTTGAAGATACCCCTTGCATATTGGTGACACGTGTTGGCCTGCCACAGCTGAGGTAGTGCTGAATAGGGGGAAGGGGAGACCTTTTTGGCATGGACACTGATGACTATGGGGGGAAAAAGTGGAGGTTTCTAGCCCCTTCTTCCAGAATGCCCCAATTCCAGGCAAGGTCATGTTATCCTGACTGTGGTAACTGTGGTAATAACACTTGGAGCTGTTAAAGTTTGCAGCTACTTAATGCAAAATCAATTCGTTGCACTGCTATGCCTTTTAAGAACTGAGGAAATAGAAAATAAGAATAATATCGGTTGCGTTGTCTACGTGTGTAAAAACCTGGCATCAGTGACTCAAACATCGTGTACCATATGGAAGAAAGATGTCAGAGCAGTACTGGGTATCTGCGCAAGATCAGCGAGAGAGTTGGACTACCTCTACACAGCGCTGCGAGGCACAGCTTGCTTCATGGCAGAAGGAAAATCCATGTGTGGCCCATAAGTGGGGAATAAGGATGAAGACAAATGTCTGGAAGATATGTGCTATTAGATAAACTACCCGTAGGAAAACAATGTACATTCTAAGAATAAAAAAAAATTATGGACAAACCATCTAAGAAATGAATATTGTACATTCAGGATGGGAAATACTGTTCTGGAAAGCAATGACCCAAAAGGGTTTGGGATTTCTGGTGGAAATGAGCTCACAGTGTAGCACTTGTCAAAAGTGCTAATGTAGGTCTTGAATGAGAAAAGAGGACCAACCTCAATCGGAGAGGGAATATTTATTTGAGATAGGTACAGCTATTTCTGGAAGACACTTGCAGAACACAACTAATTGAGAGGAAAGTGTTTGGATAAACCATAAAAATGATCAAAGGAATGGAAAAGTCTGTCTAAAAAGAGCTCTCAAAGCTCAACCTCCTCAATATCAAAGAGAAACTGAAGAGTGTGTCAGTTCCTGAACATACCCAGCAGGGCTTTCAAGCAGGATGACAAAGGTATAGTGAGATGAAGTCACCAGATTTAGAAGCCAGGTCTAAAACACTTCCAAGATCTGGGCTATTCTGGCTCACATAACAATTATGTCTTAGAACATCCATGCAAAGGCTGATATGCATTTTCTACTATAGAAACTTAAAGTATGTATTTATTTTTTTACTATTAAATACAAATTCTAAGCAAAATTGTTGGAAATTACATCATTGCCTATGTTATGTGCTAACTAATGATGAGACCTTCAGTATTATTTATGATCCTACAAGTCTCTGAATCTGTGCCAGGAGAGTGGATGTTCATTTCAACTAGGGCATGCTGGGGACACGCTTCTTGCAGATAATCTTGGAGACAAAGACATTGCTTTTACACTTATGGTCCTACAGTTTTCTTACCAGCTTGACCTATCTCTCCACATATTTTGTTTCAAAGTGTGTTGTTCCTTTCTTTTTTATTTCTTTTTTAAATCCTAAGATCTCCGAAACCTCTTTATCTCTAAGAAAATAAATCATATTTATCTCCAGAGTGTCTGGCTTTGAGTCAGACCCACTGAAGCAGCTCATTCCAAAAAATCAAATAAATAATAATAATAAAAAAAATCCCAGCCCCAAAAACCAAATCAAAGCTCAGGGTGAATCCCTAAATAATATGTATGTGGATACTATTTAGGGATACATATATATATAAAATGTGCAGTAACTGAAATACATATATTTTTTTTCCATGCATTGTGTCCCCTGCAATGCAAAGTGTATTGTTTTCAGATGATCTGCACAAAGTTATTTCTCTGCCACTTTGTTTAAAAAAAAAAAAAGTCATTGTGGATTTTGCATGGTCTGTGCTCAGAAAGGTATCTATATGGATTCTTTCTAACTCATGTTTTTAATTGATCACAGGAGCAAACCAGATCTGCCCAGCACAAAAGCCTTATTTCATTTTATCATGTGTCACAGCCGATGATTCATTGTGGGTCCCCACAGTGGGATCGGTCACCTTTCTCATTTTTCTTTTAAGCAGACACTTTACCACCACCAAGGACCACGGGTGTCGCTACCAGCCTTCCCAGAGGGTCTCCCCCAAAAAAACATACCTGCTGCCATCAGCAGCTGGATGCTGGACCTGCAGCTGCTCCGAGCAGAGCTCCTTAGGGCAGGGTTGCTTTACTCTGGTGCAGAAAATAACCCCGTTATAGACACCTTCGAAAAGTACGTGGCAAAATCCACTAGAAATAAGAACAGGCTTGTATGTGTGCGCTTAGTTTAGACGTTTCTAGTGGGGATAATTCTATTGACAGAATGAAAACATACTGAATATTTTGCTAAATAGTTAAAATGATCATGTTGAATTGATTTGAAATGCTTAATTAAGCACTATTCTTAACATAATGTCTTTCTAAGAGAATGCATCACAGATTTCTTTTTTCATGGCATAAGCATTTACAAATGCAGAGAGAAGCAAATCAGAAACGTGTAGTGAGTGCTTCCCGAGTAGAGCACTGGTCAGTGCTGCTGCCTCCTTCCTTATAACTCAAATTGAATAAATTAAATAAAATTTTAACCACCTGAGTCAAAGATTGAGGAGAAATAGTGTGATTTGAAAAACAAATTTCATAAGCAAATGGTATTCAAGAAGTCAGTGGGTTTTTCTGTTAAATTTGCTGTTCCTAAGAAATGTTAAAACTTAAAAAATAAAAAAGCTATACAGTATTTCTTCTATGCAAATATATGTACCACATGAGCATGCACAGTTAATCAACAAGGTGTTAACGATCTAGTCAAGGATTTTACTAGGTCTTTATTCTGTAAAATAGTGGAGGCTAATTTGTGCATTTAGCTCTACTTACGAGTCTGTGCGTAGCACATTAAAGGGAATATCGATGATAAAAACCTATGTTGAAGCTGCAAAATCCTTCTTTGGTTTTCAGTGAATTGTGGTTTGGTTTTTTTTTTCATGTACAAGAAAAATAATACTTTTGCTAGTTGTTTTCCCTCTGTGATCATTTGTGTATTTTTGGATTTGGGATGGAATGTGCATGAAAGCTTTCTGAGCCTGCTTCAACGGAGGAAAACATAACTTTTCTGTACAGTGGTAGATACACAGGGAAATGCAACTTTGGAATTTGGAAAACCAAGCAAGAAACACGTTCTTAAAAAAAAAAAAAAAAAACCAAACAAAAAAACCCCAAAAAAAACACCAAAAAACACCAACTAGCTAAAAAAGCCCCAGACAACCACCAAAAATAAAGTCCGCCCCCCAAAGCCCTAATAGCCTCAAAAGATCCTTTTGAGAGAGATTGTAACTAAAACTGCCCAAAAGCATAGACTGGAGAGATTTCAAACTGTCCAAATAAAATACATGCAGCTCTGAAGGGGGGGTATGGGCAGACTCTACTGTCAAATAATGCCTCTAAAGAACCGTTCCTGTCTCTATCAGAAGTGTTTCTGATATTAAGAAGATGGCCCACAAACTATGAAAATGCCAGCAAAGCAACCGAGGCACTTCAGAACACAATGAGCTACTCTTCTGTTTCATCCTAGGGCTGAAAGTCCAAAGAAAAAGAGAGCTGTATAATATACAAGGAGAAATAAAGTAGGAAAACGAAAGTAGACAAAAATACGGAAAACAGTAAGAAATGCATCTATTTGTTATTAGGAAAATAACAAATGTAATAAGACAAACAATTTTATTTTTAATTTTCTAATGACTGCAGTCCCTGTGAAATTGGTAGAAGTGCTGTAGAAATTTAGGTTGGAAGAAAAATGATGTTACTGCAAATGGTAATCATGAACTCTCAATTTCTTATCTTCTTAAGTATGTAAAGCAACTGTTGCTTGCTGAACTTGCTCAAAATTATAGAATATTATGAATAGTAGTGGAGGATTAGACACTTGGGTACATGTAGCATAAAATTACTTTTTTATGACAGGATCTAGAGAGAACATATAGGACAAATTAGAAAAAGAATTACAGTACGATGTTTGAAGAGAAAAGTTACTACTCACGAAACAAATAAAATCTAAACCTTAAAATTTTTCAGAAGTTATAAAACCTTCAGGAAAATAAAGATTTTATGTCAATATTATTTAGTAATTTTATTTACCACACTTGGAAATAATTTAGCTTACCAAGTGAAGCAATGTAAAAATACAGCTTAGGAAATGCACTTTATTAATATTAAAATCACACAATAAAAGAGTGTATACAGATAATATAACATTTAAAATAATTTCAGGAAAAAACTTAGACAAAAGTAGACTAAACTAGAAAGCAACGTTTGCAACAAAAAAAATTTGGAGAGCCAGATACATCAAACAGAATCACAACAATCTAAATCACGGGAAACGCTGCAATAGAAGTATTTGAAGTTGAACAGAAAACCAGAGCAAATAAATGCAGAAGAGCAAAAAGGTGAAATATCAAAGTAAAGAGAGTTTTGAAACTTTACTGCTTCCCAGACCAGCAAAAACTGAATTGAGCGTAAGAGGAAGACAAATCTCTCCAGTGCCATATAGCAGTAAAACACGATCTTTTAAGTTCAAGCAACAGAGTGGAAGTTAAATGCCCTGTAGAAGAGGTTAAATGTTTTGGTCCTACCGAAACAGTAAGCTGTTGTCCTATTCATCAGGCTCTAACGAAATGCAGCTGGTCTCCCTTGTTTTGCTGATCTGCAGAGAATATAGGCAAAGCTTTTGGAGTTGTTTGTACTCCCACTTGACGGCTGAGCAGTCTGCTTTTAAATATCACCTCCTCCCGAAAACAATGCAGAAGCATTTACTAAATTTTAGCTGACAAAACTGTAACGAGGATGGACAGGCTATTCTTCCCTACTTGAATTT